CAAGCCCGATTCCGTGGCCTGGACCAGGTGAACATCTCCCTTCCATAAGTGGAGCCGCTCCAGAGTTTGGTTCAGTTTAAAACCTTTTCATGAATAGGTTTTATTCATTTACTTATTTACTTTTAGAGCTGTTTAAGGTTACAGAAAAACAGAGCAGAAAGTGGAGTCCTGTGTACCTCCTCCGCCCCGAACAGGTTCCCTTATTAGTAGCATCATGCTTTACTGTGGTTTGTTTGTATAGCGACAAACCAACACAGGTACATTATTAACGTACGTCCGCAGTTAAGATGAAGGTTCACTCTTGGTGTTGTGTAGTCTGTGTGTCTTCTGTAGGTCTGGACAAAGTGTAATGACATGTATCCACCTGTTAGTATCACACAGAATAGTTTCACTGCCCCCAAATCCTGTGTTCTGCCTCTTCATCCATCCTTCCTCCTCACCCCTACCTCGGACCGCCTGGCGACCGCTGATGTTTTTATTATCTCTAAAGTTTTGTGTTTTTCAGAATTCCTCATAGTTAGAATTGTACGGTATGAAACCTTTTCAGACCGGTTTCTTTCACTTAGTCATAGGCAGTTAAGGGTCATCCATGTCTTTTTAGGGCTTGATAGCTCGGGTTTTTTTAGTGGTGAATAATATTCCATTGTCTGGATGTACCACATTGTTTATCAGTTCACCTACTGAAGGATATCTTGGTGGCTTCCAAGTTTTAGCAGTTACGAATAAAGCTGCTACAAACTTTCCTGCACAGGTATTTGTGGGGTCAAAAATTTCAGCTCATTTGGGTAAATACCAAGGAGTAATAATGCTGGATCTTTGCCCAGTTTTAATGCTCCTCCTTGCTTTGTTCTTTGACGTGGCTGCTGTCAGTTAATCTGTTCATGTGATTTCAGTGGATCTAAAAAGGCAAGAGGATGCCTGTATTTTTAGGAGACCTAAATCTGCTAAGTAGAAACACCTGTCTCCTCTTGAAAGCAGGCAAGTGTGGCAGTACCCCTGACTCAGAGTATCCGCATCACTGCTTGGCCCCCTCCCCCCCAGGCTCAACACCCTTTACAGTTGAGAGGGTGGTTTTGTTTTTTGATTTTGTAAAGTTACTCTTGTTCATTGGTTCCATCTTATCCAGTGGGCAAGCTCAGAGTCTGAGACAGGGTCTCTTGGGTTGTTTCAAGAGTCAGGTGTGACTTGGAATCTTTGGTAAGCTTGTTTCTTGGAGGCAGAGAGGGGACAGAGACTCTTGTAGAGCTGTAGCGTGGCTGTTTTGCTCACGCTTCTGCACACTTGGTTTCCTTGGATTACTCTGGTGAATGATCCCATGGGCGCCCCCCAGACTTAATGGGAAGAACAGTATCGCTTCTAAGTAACTCACTGTGTTACTGGAATTAAGTTATTATTGACTTTGCCAGAAATGAAAAGCATAGATTTAAATGTCCTTTTAACTGCTAAGGATAAGTTTTTAAAATTTCCAGTCCTTTATGGACTGAGACAATTAAAAAAATTTTTTGAGAGGGGAGATAATTAGATTTGTTTATTTATTTGTTTATTTATTTATTTTTGATGGAGGTGCTGGAGATCAAACCCAGGACCTTGTGCATGCTAAGCACATACTCTACCACTGAACCGTACCCTCCCCCTGAAAATTTATTTACTTTTTATTGAAGTATAGTCAGTTTAAAATATTGTGTCAATTTCTGGTGTACAACATAATGAATTCTAAAATCTACCTTACTCCTCTGACCAGAGCTGATTTCCCTAAGGAAAGGGTGTGTGTTTGTGTGTGTGCGCACGCACACACAAGTGCATAATCAATCCAATACAACGCAGCATATCCTGGCAATTTACTGTAAAATATTTCCAGGATAAGAAGGTGTCTCACTGTGTACGCTGTCATCACCCTGGTCTAAAGAAACCAGCATCATCTGTGGCCTGGATCATTGCCAAAGCCTTCCATTTTTGGTCTCCTGGCTCCTGTCTTTGCCCCCAGTGATTTATTCTAGCACCTAGAAGAATACCTAGTGTGAGGTAGATGCTCAGTTAATATTTGTTGGATGAACAAATCCTTGAGCAAATATTCACACGTAAGGTTTAATGAGCATGTGTGTGACTTTCTGTGGGACAGGCGGCTGTTGGTATAGGACAGACGTAGCTATGTCTCGCGGCCTCCAGGCTCTCCGTCTGGCACCTGGCTCACTGCCTGCTCTCACCACACTCTGGACACGCTGGCATTTTTCTGTGTCTTGAAGACAGACTCCTTTCCACTCCGGGGCTTCTACACCTACTCTTTCTTCTGCCTGGAGGGCCTGCCCTCTTCTTCCCACCTCTGCCCTGTTTCTTCCCGTGACTCCTTCCATCATTCGGGGCTCTGTTCAAATGTCTGCTCCTTGGGAAAGTCTCCAGTGACCTCCATGGCTGCAGAAATCCTCTCCTGCCTTCTTGCCCAGGCTCTCTCACCGCCTTCAATGTTTCTTCCTCCTCTAAAGCACTTATCTGCCCCAATTCTTGTTTGTTTGTGATATGTTTTGGGCTCCTCTACCATCTCAGGGGGGACTAGAGTGATTCTGAGGTTTCTGGCTTGTAGAATTGGATGGGTAGGTGGTGGTGTCATTTCCTGACAAATGACTAGAAAACACTAATTGAAGAGTTCAGAGAGTTATGTTTTTAGTTGTGTGTGTGTTGTTTTGATTGCTTTGATCCTTTCCTGAATTTTTAAAATCCTTTTAGGAAACACAGCTCTATGATTTTGGTTTTGAGCTTGTTGATTTTCAGTTGCCTGTAAGCATCTAAGAGGAGGTGTTGAGTAGGCAGTTGGCTGTATGCAGTTGGAGCTCAGAGGGTAAGCTGGGGCTGGAGGTGGTGTGGAGGCCTGATGGGCTGACGGGAGTCCGAGCTCTGCTGTTCACTGATTCTGCGAGGTTGACGAAGCCTTCCAGTAGGTGGAGGCTGTTTGCTCTTCTGTCACATGGACTAACATCTCCTACTTTCAAATTTAAGGTTAAATGAGAGTGTTGAATGAGTGCTTAGCACAGTGCCTAGCATGTAAAAGAATGACTTTGATATCACTAAATAGGATAGGCTGGTAGGTAAGGCCCGTTTTGAGAGCTTACCTGATGTCAGGCTATCAGAGCACTTCTATGTGGATGAGTGTGTTTACTCCTCACTAGTCCCTGGGTAAAATTTTGGCTACTGTGAATAAGACTGCTTTAACTTACAAAGCATACCTGCAGCTTCCCCAGCAGTCCTCTCCCCCATCTGCACCCCCCTGATGTTTTAAACCCTCATTCCTTTGCTGATTTTAGGTACTATAAATAGCATAGTGTGTCAAAGTGTGAATCTGTTAATATTCAGGAAGTTATTTATGTTATAATTTATATTTGTAGATTTTCTAGAAACAACGATAGTTTTAAATTACATATGTGGTTTGCAACATGGTTATTAGGTTATTACCAAAAGCAAAACTGAGGGGTAGAAACTCAGAACACCAGAACTCACTGTATTTTCCACTCCCTTTTAAAGTCTGGTTATAGAATTGATTCACTACATCGTGGGTGACTTAGAGTGGGGTGGGGTTCGTTTTCATCCTGGGCTAGTGGGATGACTAGCAGTTTACAGCTTCTTCAGTCACTGTGAGCTTTTTGATAGGGGTTAATAAAAAACTACTTTCTGTCTGAACAGGGAGGGTGGCCCTTTCTTGAAAGTGCTGTGAACTCAATCCTGTCTTTTGTTCAGTGGCTGTTTGAGGTGCCTTGGAAGGAGAGTGAAATGCTGGGGGCCTCTTCCTGGTGTATTTCCTGATATACGTGGTGAGGCTGCCAGTTCTAGTGCTGGGTTTCATAGACAAAGTCCAAGTTCTGTTTAAAACAAAAATTCTGTCCTCGTCATTAAAGCAATAATATTGAAGCTCTTGTTTGCTGTTTTCTGTATTCACTGCACAGTAAGCGCTTGTGCACCTGGGAACCTCTCTCTCTCCCACAAATAGTTTCCACTCTGCGAAATCTCACAGTGATTAAAGGAGCCAGAGGTCGTTGTGTCATGAAAACAGAACAGAAGGGGACAGGAACGAGAGGTGTTTTTTATTTTAAATCCACATGGGGCTATGTTTCCATTTACCTTGTCTTTTTATACCCTGGTCAGGTTGACGACATTTACTACGTGGTTAGAACTGAAGACCAAATTGAGGCCATTTCAGATAATGCAGCGGTCAGCCAAGAGTGCAGGGAAGGGCGCAGTCGGAGGGGGTTTTCTCCAGAGTGTGTATTTAGTTCCCACCTTGGGTTTTTTTTCCTTCTTTTAGATGGAAAAAAAAACCCCACCGAAATAATCTCCAAATATAAAGTTATGGACATTAGGTTCCTTAGACTGACTTTTAAGAATGGTTAAGATTCTAAGTCTTTGTCATAAAAATAAACCTAATGAATAGTTTCCTACCTTGATGAAATTATGAGAGGTTGAATTTTGTATATTAAATATTTTGCTATTTTATTTTTTCCATTTAAAAATTTACACATATGTGCATCTCATTGTTTCTAAGAAATATTTGGCTGTTTTAAATGAACATAACTTCAGTTTAAATTATAGGTCAGCATTGCTTGCTTTTCTTTGAGAGTAGCAGTTACTAATGTTGTCAGACCAGTCATTTCTTTTGACCCTTGTAATATAGAGCTGTGGTTTTTATGCTTTCCCTTAACATTGTGATCAAGAGCGAATCTGAGCTTGGGGTTGAAGCACTGCTTTGTTTTCAAACCGCATGCAATATTTCCTTCCTCACTGCGGTCACCCCTTCCCCCACAGGCAGTGACTGGTTCAGTGCCAAAGTGTGAAGACAAGATTCACAGTAGTCATTTATTTTATTCTGTACACAGCTTCTAGAATAAAAGTCAAAGTTAATGTCTAAGTAATTTGTCAAATTTCATACTTTGTACTTTCTTTTTTTTCATACTTTGAACTTTCATACAAATTTCTAATTTCAAATTTCAGAGTAAAATGCCTTACTTCCTGTGAGATGTTTGAGGTATAAGAAAACACTTCAAACATTTTTTCAAAATATTTAGGAAGCACTTTAGTTAAAAGCATACTGTTCAAAGAAAACATTGCATTTTTAGAATGCTTAAAAAAGGAACACTATTTAAAACACAGGCTACATACAGGAATGTTAACTTCTGAGCTCGCAACAGAGACAAGCGTGGTGTCACATCACTTCCTCTTACCCTTGATCCTAAGAGTTCTGATACTAAGTTGGTCATAAGGATTGCCCGGGTTACAGTAATTTAACTTGATGGGTAGTAATGTGGGAGGTTCCATACTCTGTGTGAGAATGCTGGGAGCCGGTTCCTTGTGCTTCTGTCCACGTAACTGGAAATAGTGGGTATTTCCTCTTTGCCTGGACTCCTGGTGTTTTCACCTGGGATCGCAGAAGGAACAGGACAGTCTGTGCTCCGTGACTGTTCCAGGCCCTCTTGCTGACTGCCTCTGTCAGTGCTACTTAGGAAGTCTTTCAGAACTTGCTTGAAGATGTAGACGATTTCCCATGGCAGTACGTCATTTTCCGCCAAAACTTCTCGAAATCTAGAGGCAAAGCAGTTATAAATATTGACTTCAGGAAATTTCTCTTGTCATTTCCCTTTATCTCCAAAATTCAGCTCACATAATGTAGTCATATAGTAGTTACCCACTTTTTGAGTTATCTGCACATTGCTTTAAAATTTTGTTTCTAATAAAGAAATTTTGTGACTTTAAAACATTTCCTAGCCAGTGGGATATCAGCAGATATTTTTGTCCAGCCTATCCTTAGGGATTTTGGTTGCTGGTACTTGATACACACGGTTAAAGCATTTACATGGCAGAATACAATTTCCGGTCTAAATATGCGAGGAGCTTAGACTTGGCAGGGCACAGATGACAGGGAGAGAATGCAGCCCCTCACCTGCTGAGCACAGTTGCAGCTTGGCGCGGCTGAACTTGTGAGCAGAGGACTTCCAGTTGTCTTTGCTCAGTAGCTGGGATGGCCGCCTGGGGACTCTGGTAGTTTCTCAGCCAGGTGTAATCCACACCTGTTTTCCTCACTGTCTGCTCGTTTTCGATCTCTTGTGTTAATCTCTCTCTCTCCTTTAGATGCCATTTTAGTTCCCGAAGCAGAGTCTTTGTCACCACATCTGAGTCAGGATAGTGCTTGGGTCTGTAGGATTCGTGTTTTGGCCATTTCATCCAGCCAAAAAGTGGCATTTTTAGCCTATGGAAATACTCTCACTTGTTTATTTGCATAAAATGTTATGGTTCTGATGAGCAAATACTTATTTCTTTACAGTAAATTTGCCAGAAAAGTGCATGAATTTTTTGCTGGTTAGATACACAGGTCAAAATAAGATTAGAGTGGATTAGAGTCTTTTAATTTCTAACTAGGTCATTGCCAAAAACCAGGCTTTGAAAATACTTTCATGTAGGAGCTAAGCAGAAACGAAATACACAGAGATAATCTACAGACTGAACGTTTTCTGAAATTAACACTAATACTTGCTATTAAAAGTTCTTAGGACGCTTTACAGTATTAGCATATAGGAAAGTGCTATCTACAAACATACTTGGAACTTACGTTCTGTGCAGAAAAGGTTTAAGGCTTACCTGTGAAGCTGATGGATTCAACGTGGTGACGTTGCCACAGAGTGAACTTGAGCTGGTGGTGAAGCCGTGTTTCACTCGGGCATATCTTACCCTCCAGGATGCGTCCTCTGTTGAAGCAGTGAGCCTCCTGTACCCACTGAAACTCTGTTTGAAATAAATAACTTTCTATGTTAGGAATGAGGCTGTGATGTTTTCGTTTGGAGAGAATGCTCATTAATTCACCTTGTAAGTAAGCTAGAGGAAATGACAGAAATAACTTACTATTTAATCTTTACAAATTATATAATGGTCTGCCTTTTGAATGTAGCTCAGTCTATTTGGAAAAGATGCCGACAGCTATGGATTCTGTCCTAAATGTGTTTGGACATGTCTTTGGTGAAGGGACGAAGACGGGTTGTGGGAAGCAGCGCAGACGCGCTCCCGGCCTCGGGGAAGGCTGCCACGTGCTGCCGCGCTGTGCGTGGCTGCGGGGCGCGGGCTCGGTGCTGTGTCTCTGTGTCCGAGAGCAGAGCTCTAAAAATAACTGTGTTGCTCTTATTCTTCAGCTTAACTCTCAGGCCATTTAGAAGCCAGGTCACTGTTCCCTCTAGTGAAAGCAGGAAAAATAGATCAGACTTGACTATTGGCAAAATACATGTTCTAAGAAAGTTCATCACAGTTGAACAAAATAGGCAAAGAATGCTGATATCAGTCATGTGTGAAATATTTAATAAATGTTACATTTTGTACACCTTCTTTCTTTCTAAATAGTAGTTAATTTTGTATATTTAAGGAAGTTGTAACGCCAGAGGACATTATGTACGTTTAAGTAGATAACTTTAAAATATACTTTAGAATCTCTAAAAACATGGTGATAAGGCAATAACAGATAAAGGTCAGGTAAAAAGGTCTTTATACATAAGAGTGTATAAAGTTCAAAATCTTCTAATTCATTATAGAAAATCATTTTCATGCTTGTTTCGGAGCTGAATGTGGAACTGATGCTTACGGTTTGGGCGAGTGCTGATGGGTGAGGGTCTTTATTGTGCCGATTTTCTGTTCTCTTGTATGTCTTTTGCTTGAGAGTGGACAGGTTCTTTCCTCTCTGGTTTCGTGTAAAATGACTACATGGTGGCTTTTCCTTTTATAATATTTGTTTCTTCTGTTGCTTTTTCCTTCAAATGAACTGTGAAGACTAGACCTCGTTTGCATAAGACCTGCGTGCCACGCAGATCAAGATGACGTGTGGTCATCCTGTGGCTCCTGTTCCTTGTGCGTTAGAAGGAGCCAGATGTCAGGATTCATTATCTGCAACTTGAAGGTTTTCACGTTTCACGTTACATGTAGTCTCTGAAAAGGAAGGGAGTTAAGTTTATTGTGACAGGACTGTCCTACCAGATTTCCTACTAAAGTTTCAATGAATCTGCCTATGAAATGGTAACAGAACATCAAAAATGTTCTGGATATGGAGCACGAACCAGATTTCTGTCCCAGCCCTGTGCAGGCTGGCACTGCCCTTTCTTCCTGGCCTGACTGCCCCGCGCGTGCCGGGCTCCCTCTGAACATTCAGCTTTGGTCACACTGACTCCCTTCTGGGATGCTTATTTCTCTTTTCCAGGTACCCACATTGTAATTCTTTTTTTCAGGGCCCAGTTTAAATACCAACTAATTTTTGACTCTGAGGGAAAGCATGAGTTTTCCCTTGGCCCTCCTGTTCCTTTGAACTCTGGTTTTATTTCTCTTTACTGTTAAACTTACAGAGAAACTGGTCAGTGTTTTTGTTCTCTTCTCCCTGTTTTCTGATCCTTTCCAGCTAGATTCCACTCTGTCCTCCGCTGTAACTGCTGGCTCTCGTTCACTCACGGATGTTTTGGCTGGGCCAGGGCTGGTGAGGGACTGGGCTCAGCAGGGACCCGGACAGATCTGCTGTCTGCCCTCACGGGGCTGGTCTTCAGTGGGAAGGCAGCACGAATGCACGGACCACCGCCGGTCCACGTGGAGGCCAGGGAAAGCCTTTCTAGGTAGGGATGCGCTTTGAGCAGAGATCTAAAGATGACAGACTAGGCCGTCTCCCTTCTTCTTTTGACTTACTTAACGCCTGTCTTGCTATGGAGACTGTTGCTCAAGTGTGACCTTCACAGGACTTTTCTGACCACCTCGGCTCACATTTAGGACATTCTCCTTTAATACTACTTGTGTAAACCAATTTTCCTAGTGCTTAGGGTGTGCTACTTGTAATACTGTAAATTTTATTTTTTCTGTCCATGTCCTGAGAGTGTTTGCTTGAAATAGAACCCGAATATCGTTCTCTGATGACAGCAGTTCCCCTACTACCGTGTAGACAGAGAACGTAAATATTTGTAGACCAAGGTGAGGACGTACTTTTGTATTAATCCTTCCTGCTTACCATGGTATAACCAGATTAATGTTGGATTTTGTTTATCAAACATTTTAGTAAGTTGAATAAGTGAATTGTTTCTAGTAAATTGAAGCTTAGGCTATTTTGTGTGGAAGACGAGAAGGTTATTAAACTATGAAGCAGTCAGGTTAATTGCTTTTTGTTCACCATCGTGGTTTTTTAGGCCACATCTTCTTAGCTGAATAGTAGACATTTTTATAAGACTCAGGGTGAAATAGGACCATATCATTCATAATGTACCTGTTTGTAAAATTTTCGGATGAGTAAGGAAGGTATGAAAGTCTGGAAAGACAGCACTTTGGAATCTGGAAGGGCGAGCTCCGGAGCCAGGCGCTGGGCGTGTGGTGTCAGGGCCGCTGCGCGGGGGGCTCAGCGGCGCAGGGCTGCAGCCGGAGGGGGGGTTCATCGTAAGGAGACTGGTAGCTTTCTGTTTTTAATTCCTTTGCTACTGAATTAAATGTTCTGGATTATTGGGGGTTTTTTTGGCTATTGAAACGCAGTTAATATTTGAGAAACTATGATGTTAACTTTCTTTACCACTATTATTCATCTTTAAAATATTTTAATTAGAGCACATTAAGACATACACTTTTTAAAGGTAAAAGTCGTATTTCTGTTGGTTCATGTCTTAGTGACGCAGTGAGGGGACTCTTTGTTCACTCCTGTGTCGTGAGTTGCAGACGTTTGGTGTCGAGTGTGTGCTCTTCTTGCCCATTAACCTTTATAGATGTTGTTCATAAGTTTTATAATTTAGTTTATTGATATTTTCCTTTTTGTCATTTCCTTTTTTGTGCTCTTAACTTAAGGCCTTCTCTACTCCAAAGTTATACTATACAGAAGAAGATTAGCTTTTTAGGCTTAAACAAATAAGTCCCTGGGTGTTGAGTTGGTTTGGAATTGGTTTGAGATTGGTGTGGGTAATGGGGTCCCCAGCTTGGATAACCATCCTCCAAAGTGATTGCTCCACCCAGATTTCCTCTTTCCTTGTGTGCCGAGTAACTGCGGGGTGACCTGGGCATTTTGCATGTTGTATAATGGGGCTCTGGGCCTTATTTAAGTTCTGTGGGGAATGCATCTGACCAGCAGTGTTCAGGCTGCGGGTTCCAACCAGCCTTTTGTGGGCCGTGGATTCAAGGTCCATCCGGTACTCACAGCCTTTGCAGTGCACTGTGCCACCTGGTGGCCGTCCTGTAGCTCAGCGCTCAAAACCTGATGGGAAGGCTGGGGGTCAGAGAGGGCACTGCCAGCCCCGGGGGTGAGCCCAGCAGTTCCTGAATGGCCTCAGGTGCCTGCGATTTCCTGGGTGCTCTCTGCCACTGGGCCTCCCTGTTTTGGTCTTCTGGCTGGAAGATGGGGGCTTTATTGCCCTGCTCTGCCAACTACTTCTTGCAGTGGTATCCACCTTTATCTGCATCCCAGGCCAAGCAGGGAGAGGACAGAGAAAGAAAAAAGGCAGAGAGTTTGCCCCGCCCTCTTAGAGAGGGGACCCCTGGAGTTGGACGCTCCTGCTGCCCCTGGTGTGTAAGAGAGTGGACAAGAGAAAGCTGGGCACTGCCGCATTTTGAGCGCTTGGGCTCCTCTTCCCTGCCCCTGGGCGCACTGCCTGTGCCAGGGCCTGCGTCTGCGTCTGCCGTGCGGGCAGCTCAGGTCAGGGGCTGCTGGGTTAGAAAATGACGAACTTGTGCTGCTGGTTTGGTGGTGCTCTGAACTCGGGTCCTCTTCCCCAGCCTCCCTGTCACCTTTACTCTTCAGAGCCCTCCAGTAACTGCAGGCGTTCTGTCCAGGTTGACAGCTTCATTCTGTGGGCGGTACGGGGTGCAGGGTGCTTACTTGATCTTACCAGAAGCTGGAACCTTGGGTCATTTTTGACTCCTTTTTTTCCTTGTGTCCCATGTCTAGTATGCCGTCTTATTCTTTGGGCCCCACTGTCACTGCCGCCACTCTAGTCCAGGCCGCATCGTCTCTCTCCTTGGTTACTGTGGTGGTCAGGGGTGGGCTCTCTGCTTCTGCTGTGTCTGGGCCCTGTCACCCCGCCCCACCTCACCTGGTTAGAGCCATCCTGTTAAAATAGGAGTCAGATATCACTACTTCTCTGCTTCTGCTCAAAACCATCTCATCCAGAGCAAAACCCCAAATCTTTAGCCCCTGCCGGTCCTCCATACCCTCTTCCCCATCTCCCGGCTCTTCCCCAACTCTTGCGCCCTCTC